AAAGGTCAGCATGCATATTTAGTTCTGGCGCAGCTGCTACCTTTTCCTTTTCTTAACCTTGCTTCCATTTAAAAGACGCCTTAATCCGCCCTTGAAGGGATTTGTATAGCAGCGTAAGCACTTAATTTACGCCCACCGAAGATTTGTCCACAGCTGAGTCAATGCTGAAAGAGCAAGCTCTTTGTTGTTTAGCTGTGGCTGCTGCACTGAGTGTCCTTTCTGCGTCAGGTTTATTTTAGAAACCGATCATTTTAATTGCCATTTCTAGGTGGGATTAGGCGATCTCTGCTGAAGAGGTTCGTGTAGACGAAGTGGAAGTGCAGTCAGAGGCAGGCGTGGATGGCTGAGCTTTTCTACGTGACAGACCAGATGCAGCCTCCTCTAAATGGTGAGGCCAGCTGCCACCTTTTTCAACAGTTACCCATTTACCTCTGCTTGGTTGCACCAGATGTTCACTGCAGGTATCACAGAGCATGGCAGCATGATTACTCCTCAGCCAAAAGAATATAAATAGCAGCCTCACCACTAAGGTAACATCAGATTAGAGGTGGGGGAAGGAATGGATTCAGGTCAAATATTAAGGCTAGCCCATCTCATTCACACTTTCTGGAACAACACAAGAATTGGAACACGGCCCTCCTTCACGATTCACACTTCTCTGAATTTTGCAAAGCAGCTCTTCAGCCAAGTAATGTGTCAAAAAATGCATGTAGTATTTAAAATAGCAAACAAAATGTGTTATGTTTGGGAAGGTTGCAGGCAAACGTGTGTATATTAGGAGGGTTTATCATAAAAATGCTGATGAATCTTCAGGAGGACTTTAAAAAATCACAAACTGATGTGAAAATGTGATTGATAGATTTGCTTGTCATTGTTTCAGAGACATTGGAAGGTGTTTTCTATTGAAACTGTGGGTCAGGAGGACATTATCCACAAGTGAAGAGGAGGAACAGAGCCTCAGAAGACTTGCAAAATATTGATGCGGCAAGGGCAATCAGAATAATTGTCAGATGACACTGATGAAACCAGGGCTTTTGTGTGCCAACAGTAGCCCAATGTGTCAGTGCTTAACTTCTAAAATAAGAGATGTCTGCAGGTCCTGCCTACTGAATGGAAACATTTCCTCACTATTGTGTGAAAGATACTCAGTATATACTCAATAGCACTCTTGCTTTCATTATTCACATGTCCCATGAGCCCCAGCACTGACTGTATTCTAAGCCCTGGTTATCTTTGGTTCAGATTTAGGCTTGGTGGTTGTTGTTAGCACAAACTGCAAGAAATGGGCTGAAACTGCAAGCAGTGCTGGAAGACTTCTCTCTCACTGGCCAGCAAATTCATTCAGCCAGTGGGAGGATTGTTTCCGTCTCCTCATAGTCTTCCCCATAGTCTTCAGCTGGGGGTGAACACAGAAAATACACAGTGAAGGTAGCCAAAGATTGGAAAGTCCTAAAAGACCATTGGTCAATCCCCTTCTCTGTCCCTGAGGTGTAATAAAGCAGGGCTATACAATACACAAACACACATCCTCCTTGGGTTCCAGGGTATGCCCTGAAGACACATGAGGCTATCGCTGAAGCTAAGCAGGTCTAGGTCTGCCCCTTGCCTGGATGGGTGACCACGTAGGAACTATATGTATACCACCTTGGATTCCATGATGGACAAAAGGCAATATATGGATGCAAAAAGAGAAAAGCAAATAAATAAATAAATAAAGACCTGCAATCCAGACACATTACGCTGCAAGGTGCCAGCAAACAGAGAATTCCAGGTGACTCCAGTGAAAGATCCAGGCAAAAGGCTATGCTCAGGGGCAAGTAAACCCTGGAAGTCATGGCAGCCAATTAGAACTGGTTTCCCTTCCAGTTCGAAAATTTGACTATCAGACATCACCTCAGCATTACCATGAGTAAAAACTAGCAACCCTAAAGGTATCTTCATGTGACTCCCTGGATGTGTGTAGGAGAGATTATTTATTTGATTTGTGAATGGACTCTCGTAAAATGTGTACACTTGACCACCAGCCTGCATGTGTGTATTCACCTCCATGCCTAGGATTCAACACTGTTTTTTCCTGCCTCTTGCCAACACTGTGTGCCAGAAGACAGAGGCATAGAACTTAGGTGTGTAAGAGAGACTGGGGGTGGGGGAGAGGGAGATGGAGAAGGAGAAGGGGGAGGAATATGTAGCTTAAGTTTTTGGCTAACATTGCCTGTTTTACTTTTTAATGAGATAAAGATGTGTGCTGATATATATTTCATGGATGAAACATAGGGTGTGTGCATTCATCAGTATCGGAAAAGTTCCAAACTGCAGCTGTGCGTCCTGCCAATTGGACTGCAAAAGGCATGGTTTTCTCCAGGCACTTGCCCTTTTTACAAGAGGACGTCCACGTTGCACAGCCCACACTGGTCCCAGAAGCACTCCCATCATTCATGTGCATTCCCAGGAACACCCGTGTGGTCTGCAGCACCTTAGACATGTGTACTGTCTGAGAGATCAGATGTGCTGAAATCACAAATCTAGGTCCTTTTGTGAGAATCGAATTAGTACCTGTCCCTTTGGAGTAGGCTTTTTATCTATGCCTTTTGGAGGAGTAATGGAAGGGGAAGTTAAAGTTAATGGCTTACAACAGCTCTCATCCTTTCAAAGTATCATGTTCTGCTTTGGGGGTTTCAAGGGAAAAAGTTACATAATTATTTTCTCCGTTTTAAAGTGCCGCTGTTGTATACAAACGCTGTGCAGGTCACAATCTCTCCTTGGGACCAGTTGTTTGAAAAACAAATCCACTCTGAAGAGAGCGATGTGGCCCTTAGAAGTCTGCCGGGGCTGGAGATGCAGCCATCGAAAACAGCCGCCCTCGACACCAAAGGGCCTCTTATCTTTCAAAGTTTCATGTCAGGTACCGGTATGTCCTTGAGAGATGCAGCAAGGCAACTAGAAAAATGAAAGGCTTGTTACCTCAACAGAACCAGGTCTAAGGAAGGCAGCTAGAAACACTGTCAAATCCTCTTTCTGCTGCGAAACGCGCTGAGCGGCCCCAGGCAAATCTCTGTCTTGCAGCCAAAAAAACTACCAGGTATTGTGGCTGTGAAGTTAAAAACTGCACTCTGAGGTTTACAAAAAGAGAGAGAAAAGAAAAGTGTGATATAAATGTGATCCAAAGGAAGGGCTGCCTCCAACGGTGTCGCTCAGCTGACATTTACGGGGAGGGAAGTAATCACAGAGTTTCTTCTTGCCAACCATTTCTAAGATTTCGCCAACAGATTTGGGGATCCAGCCACTTTCTGTTATTTCATTTCTGCTCAAAAGTGGTCCTTTTGTTGCATTATAGGGGAACTTCCATCCGGGGCCAAATTCATAGGTCTGAGCATCCCACTGCTCGCCCTCAAAGTGGTGTGAGCCTTTGTGAGTGTGCCAATCAAATGTTTTCAAAGTCTCGAGATTCTTGCCACTCTTGGATTTGAATGTTTTTAATTTTGCTTTAAAAGCAAGTTCTCAGGGTGGCTTAGGACAGTGCTTGAAGAGAGCGTGGAGGGCCCTCCAGCGGAAGATGGAACAGACTTGTTCTCTCTTGCTCCCAGGGATGGGTGGAGCTGTCAATTTCGATTTCTTTCTGTTTCTCATTTCTCCAGTCTTAAGTTCAGTTCTCCACATTTCAACATTTGTTTGTATTTTTTAAAAAGAAAACTCCCCATTAAAATTCATCAGTAATCCAGTGTGAATGCCTTCCAAAACATACCTGTTCGTATGCAGCTTTGCCTAATTCACACGTTTTTGCAAAGCAGTTTCCCCTCATATAATGCATATTTGCATATTATATTTACCAGTATATGCATTTTTATGCTCACTTTACCCCTCTTGTACACATTATGAGGCTGGATGAGTGCATTGCAAAATTCAAAGAAATGCAAATTCCAAAGGATGGCTGTGTTTCGAGTTTGTGTATCGTTTCAGAAAGGGCAATTGTGTAGTTTTGCCTTTAAACACAACCTGAATTAAATTTCTCCCCCATTTTGCTTGATCCAGAGGACAGAATGAGAATCAATGAGTAGAAATTGCAGCCTTTAAATGGAAGAAACATCCAAATGAGATGAGCTGTCGGACGATTGGAAGGTGATGGACTTCCCCTTCCTAGAGGCTGGCTGGCTGGCCATCTGTCATGGATGCTATTGTTTCATTCTGCACTGCAGACCCTACATGAAGCAAGTGAGTTGACCAGATTAACCTCTAATGTCCTTTCCTACTCTGATTCTATAATGCACCCAACCCCTCCATAGTCTTCAACCTTCCCCTGTTTACCACGAGAGCTCCTAAACTTACTACAGACCTCTATATTGTTTCTGTTGCCACAGACTCTGGAAATGTTAGATGAAAAATATTGCAGATAAAACCAATATTCTTCCTAGACCAGCTGTGGCCTGGCATCCAGCTCTGTTATGCAATTTATGCCCAAATTATGGTCATTAACTGTGACCCTTTTGGCTCGTGATATTTCCCCCCCAAGTAATTACTCATCCCTGAACGCAGAGCTTGCTTCTGGTTTTTTTGTCCTTGAAGTTAAAGGGCAGCAGGGAGTTATAAAAGCAGAGCTGCCAGCCTTACACACCCTTTCCCAACCCCTTTTTTCTCCCACTCACCCTTGTTTGTGCTTATCGAACATCTGCATGTTCACATTTTTGTGTGCTGTTGCATTAAAAACCTAGCTGATGAAAAGGACTTTGGACTGAAATTAAGCTATTGCTTAAGGATTAGGGGACTGCAAAATAAGTTTGGACAATAATAGCAAGTGGCTGCAAATATTTCCTGTCTCCCATCTTTTGTCCCATCAGCATCACAATGCTGTTGTCCTAGGTTGCTGAGATTCCTGGTTAACTGCAGGGAATATAGGATGCTGCCTTAGACCTAGTCAGACCATTGGTTCCTCTAGCTCAATATTGTCTACATGGTTTGGTAGCAGCTCTTTGGGATTTCAGGCAGTCATCTCTTCCACCCTTGCCTGGAGATGCTGGGGACTGAACCTGGGACCTTTTGCTTGCAAGGCAGGTACTCCACCACTGAGCTATGGCCCTTCCCCACTAGAAGTGGACTCAGCTGGTATGCAGATCATAGCTGACTTGAAAGCAGAGATGGGTGGAGAAATTTGGTTCGGTTCAGATTTTGATGCGAGCCCACCTAATTCACACAAAGAACCGAAGCACAGCTAAGTGCAGAATTCAGTGGCCAGGTTGCTCAACGGAGCAAGATTGTTTGAGCATATTATACCGATCCTGGTCCAACTGCACTGGCTGCCAATTAGTTTCCAGGCCCAATTCAAAGTGCTGGTTTTGACCTATAAAGCCTTAAATGGGCCAGAACCACAATATCTCAAGGACCGCCTCTTCCCATATGAACCTACCCGGACCTTGAGATCATCTTCTGAGGCCCTCCTTTGTGTGCCTCCTCCTCGAGAGCTCTGGAGGGTGGCAACATGAGAATGGGCCTTCTCTGCAGTGGCTCCCCTTCTGTGGAATGCTCTCCCCAGGGAAGTTTGCCTGGTGCCTTCATTATACACCTTTAGGTGCCAGGCAAAAATGTTCCTTTTAAACCAGGCTTTTGGTTGACCTGATTGACATCCTAAGCCCTTTTAAAATGTGTTTTTTTGGGGGGGGGCTATTGGGTTGTTGTTTCTATTTTTATTATGTATTTTTTTATATATATCTTGATTTTATTCTGTGAACCACCCTGAGACCCCTGGGTATAGGGCGGTATATAAATTTTAATAATAATAATAATAATAATAATAATAATAATAATATCCTTCGATACCCACACTTCTCCATAAGTTTATGATGCAACAATCAAATAATTAGTTTCATGCATTTATATCCCACATTTTCCTCCAAGGAGCTCAAGGGGGCATACATGGTTTCTCCAATCCTCATTTTATCCCCACAACAACCCTGTGAGGTAGGTTATGCTGAGAGGAAGTGACTGGCCCCAGGGCACCCAGTGAGCTTCATGGATGAGCCGGGATTTGAACTCTGGTCTCCCAGGTCCTTGTCTGACACTCTGACCACTGTACTTAACTGGCTAAAAAAGAAGTATTGGCTACACTGATTCTCCAGAGTTTCAGGCAGTGGCCACTTCCAAGCCCTTCCTGGGGTGTTGGGGATTGAACCAGGAACCTTCTGCATGCAATTCAGATGCTCTACCACTGAGCTGCATGTGAAGGTGAGCATTAAAGGGCATCTATTAGTGAAAACAGCACCTAAAAATTCATTATATTGTGGGAAATTGCTGGCAAAAATGTGTACATGGAGCAAAATTACAGAGAGTGTTTATTAGGAGAGATTTGCATTAAAATGCCGGTGAATTGTGGTCAACTGAAGTTAAGTCTGGAAAAAGGAGAAACCGAGGGAAACCAAAATCCACAGATTTCTCCAACTCTACTTAGAAGAGAAGCAATGAGGAAATGGAAGAGTCAACCGCAGTCTCACAGAGCAGGAATCAACCCCTACAGTTTGCTTTCCTCCTCAAGGGCTCCCTTTGTGTACTGGAGCTTTCCAGAGAGGATAAGCATTTCACTTCTTTATTATCCAGAGCAGAGAAACATTTGCCCATACTCTGCTAGAGGGGTCTGCCATCTCTTTCATTCATAAATAGCTTATTAAACCACTGCACGTGAACACCTGTTTCAAGTCTTTTTGGTATTCTGTTATTTCATTGACAGTCAAAGCATAGCCAGCTTTCTTTCATTTTAAAATGATGCATTTTCTATTTCTATTTTGTTGTTTGCGAATACAGGGTGGCTAGAGTAGAGGTTCTGTAATCTTAAATTCTTCTAATGAAATGCTAGATTTGCACCCTTTTGTAAATATTTCTGACCCTTTGATGATCGATAATGAACACTCATACTTTATACCTTCAAGCTGCCCCTGAAACCAATCACAACAGTGGAAAAAACATCGGGGAAATAAAAATATCTTTGCCGGACAACTTAAAATCCTGGGAAATGTAGTTAAGGGTGCTGAGAGTTAGGAGACCACTAGTCCCTTCAGAGAGCTACAGTTCCTAGAGTTCCTTGAGAAAAGGGATTGGTTGTTAAATCACTCTGGGATCTGTAGCTCTGTGAGTCTCCTGACAGCTCTCAGCTCCCCAAACAAACCACAGTTCCTAGGATTCTTTGGGAGAAGCCATGACTGTTTAATGTGTTCTGATACTGCTTTAAATGTATCATGCAGAGGGGAGCCTTAATAAATGTGATGTTTACATAAGCTACCTAATGTTTGTTTGAGCTCACTTTCACTTTGTAATTTTCTCTCCTCCTGCCCACCCCTTTTCATTTGCAAAATCACTAACATGCTGACATTTCAGGCAGATAATAAAGATGTCCGCACTACTGATTAATACCAGGTGCATTTTAGACTTGCAAGATGAATGCACATATGGAGATATATGCATTTCAACGCGTTTTAGGCTTTGCACCACGTCCACAGAGATCAATTTTATGGCACAGGCAATGAGATTTTTATAGCATCTGGTTAACCTTCAGCACTGAAATGCAGATTTATACACTACCTAATTTTTACAAGTGTACTGTGGCTCAGCCAGTGGTCACTAATACTGAACATATGCTATCAGACTACACACTTAGTTTGTATAGGCTTTTAAACCTGCACTCACTTTCTATCTCTCTCTCTCTCTGAAGAAGATATTTCACAAAATTTGGAGAAGGCTGAAATCCAAAGGATAAATTACATTCTGATCCACATGCTCTGCCAGGAGCTGAACATTGCGTTGGTCTGCATTGAAATTCACAGAAATCAAATTATTCAGGTATCCCTATGTTTAAGAATTGCCTCCCACCCCCACCACTCTTGGGCCTCCCCACCCCACCACTCTTGAGCCTTTAAAGACTACAGAGCATGCAGAGATTCAACATGGAACTTCTCTGTTGCAGAGATGATGTGAGGAAGACAGCTTCACCTGTTGGATTTCCTGTCACATAGCTGTTAAAAGGTACAGGAACCCCGAGAGAGGGGAAAGGATGGCAACCCTAATAATGCCAGAAGGATGTCTTATAATCCCATGCCTACTCTCTTTGCTTTAGCAGTGTCTTCTGTATTTGTATATTATTGTCTTAAATCCATCCCTTCACTCCACACTTCCTCCCCCCCCCTTACTGGGAATGATAAGCAACCATTTCTGGCAAACACAAGAGATGGCACAGCCAACTGTTTTCCTTGCCAAGCTATGTTGTCATACAAGAGGATAGCTGCTGTGACTACTGCATGCATCCTAATAGTGACTCTTTCTAATTTATGGTAGCAATCACACTTAAAACCACCTCCACAAAAAATAGCTGGCAGGAGCAGACACACGGGCTTGCTCTCTTGCCTGCTGGTTGGTACAGACAAGTCTATTCATTTACACCACATGCTGAGCTTCTGAGAGGATTTCAGTTTTGCTTCACAGATTGATTTTTCAGCTGCGGTGATCTAATTGTCGCAAGGATGCTTTTCTGGGAGGTGTAGAGGAACCTTGAGCATGTCAGAGATTCAAAACCTATCAAGGAAAAAAATGCAGACAAACTTTTAAAGAAGTTTTGAACAGTGGAAAAAGAGTGAAATGAAAACTTATCTGGGAGGCTTTGCAAAGTCAGGCCCCTGCCCCGTGACAGCAGAGCTAAATACACAAAGTGGTAACAGTACTTCAGTTTGCAGCTGATTCTTTGTTGCCAGTGATGATATCTTCCAGAAAGTTACTTTGAAGCAGAATAAATATTGTTTTAATAATACTACTAATAATAAATTTTTATTTATACCCGCCCTTCCCAGTTCAGAAAACTGTCCTCAGGGTGGCTAACAACAAATTTAAAACACTTAATTGATGCAACAAAAAACAGCATAAAATACAGTATAAAACGTGAAAATGTGCTTTCATGATTCAGGTAGGTAGCCATGTTGGTCTGACGCAGTCAAAATAAATTAAAAAATTGTCCAGGAGTACCTTAGATACCAACTAAGTTTGTTCTGGGTATAAGCTTTCGTGTGCAGGCACACTTCTTTCATGCTTTAGCTTCTTCTGTGTGAAGCGGGTGGGCCTGACCTAGGGGTGAGGAGCAGCGGGGGGGGGGGGTCCCATGACCCTGTCTCCAAGTTCCAGATGTGCTCACAAACCCCCAAAACATCTGTACTAGAACTTTCCCCCTTGTATGCTAGTTGTTTACTTGCTGGAAGTTTTCAACTTCCAAGGGGTGTTCACACATTACAATCAACAAATGTGCAAGCTGTGCACCCGTGTACACAAATAGTGTGTTCACATTGTAACATTCAGCAAGTGAACATTCAGCAAGTGTACAGCCTGTGTACACAGTAGTGGAGCTGTACAAATCAAGGAGTGTACGCATTTTCACGCCAACACTTGTGCAGGTGTAGAGAACCCCTTGCAAATGTGTTCAGTGTAATGTGTGAACGAGGCTACAGAAAGGATTCAAAAGTAGAACACACCTTCACTGTGAAGTGACCCAGTCCATTCTACCACTTCCTCCTCTTGCATGCTTTCTATATGATAGGATCAGATGCAGGTTTTATTTAATAAATGGTTCTTCCTTCCGCTACCATGCATAGTGTGCAACAGGAGGATAATTTCCAGGTCTGCAGCCCTTTCTGTTCTTCCCCGAGTGAATGTGTTTGCTGCAGCAAAGATTTATGGCAAGACAGGAACGGAATGGTTAACTTCATCATGGGATATAAAGGAGGTCAAACGGTGGGGAAAGTGGAGTCTGGAATGTTTGCTATGTTTACTTTGTAAGTAAAGCCAAATCCCAGAACAGGGATAGGTTTTGATTAAATTCTGCTTGGAGAAGAATTTCAGCTAAGCTGTTTTCTTGCTAAAAATGCAGCTTTGACCAAAACGGATCATTTAAAAAGATCAAAAATAACTCTGACTGGTACTATTGTTGTGCATTTGCTCCATACACCTACCAAGCACCTTGGTCCTTCGTGGTTTTTTCTGAGAGGTGAATGGAGGAGGCCCAGTTTGTTGTGTTGCCTTTTTTTCAAAAGCAATCCCATTATAATAAGCTGCTATTATATATTACACACATGAGGTTGCACCAACATAAATGTCTTTGTGGACAGGTGTCTACAAAGTGAACAGTCCATTGTCCTGCCTCCCTGCCCCCATCACTGAGGTTGTCTGCTTAAAGAAGGTCTCTTGCAGGTAATGCTACATCCAATCAAACAACACCTCTCATTTTCCGATTCGCTGTTCCTGGGGGATGTGGCTGCTGATTGGACACAGCCTTTAAAAAAATGCAAATGTTTCCTTTCTGCCTCCTTTTTCTCAGCCTGAGACCCGACATGTAATAAAACTACTAACCCCTCAAATGAATCTCTTTTGGAGAATAAATAAACAATGCCCCTCCCATAGTTCAGAGCCCCCAAATGTTCCCATTGCCACCTAATAATCAAGTCAAGTTGGAGTTACAGAAGAGCTATATCGCCTTCAGATCTTAATCCAATGGCTTTTCTTCTTTTTCTCCCACCCACATAGAAAAGGGTTTGTAAGCTTTTCATGGTTGACTGACACAAGCTTGAGATTTCTTCAAATATTACATTCATTTTTTTAAAAAAGAAAAACAACATGTGAAGACAGGGTGGCTCCAAATATGTCGCTTGAGATGGTGGAAAAGATGGTGCTTCCATTCCTCCCCAAATTCCTCATACCAAATCCAACTAGACTGGTAGCTGACCCTTTCTTCAGCATCTTCTACCACATCTGAGGGCAACAGGCATGTTCAGGGGATGCAGTGCATGCTCTTTGACACACACAGCTCTGCTCTCTAATACCTACCCACTGCTGCCTGCCCACTGGTACATGCCACCTGAGGCAGCAGCTTCACTCTGCCTAATGGTAGGGACAGCCCTGTATTAAGAGGAACCTTAAAACAGAATCAAGGTATTCTCAGTAAACTCTTAGGGTGGTATTCAACTAAGTTTTATGCAGACTACACTTACTGAAATGAATAAACATGACATAGTTCACTAATTTCAACTGGTCTACTGATTGAAAATCACCCTTAAGTAAATCTTGATGAAAGTTTCTCCCTTCTTTAGAAATGCTTAGCACTTCATGGCAAAAGAGACTTAAACTCAGTGCCAAATAGGACACATTCACATGGCAATTTTGTTGGAAGTTTTGCTCTTCCTGTTTTCCTCAGCTAAGGTTGATGTTTGTCATGCTGGATGTGCGCTAAGTTATTCCAGCCAACTGAATGGCCCTTGAAGGCTCAGAGCTCTTCAAACAGGAATGGAGAACACTTTTGAGCTTCTCCAAATTCAAACAAAGACATGACATGTCAACCCAAGGCTGATTGGCCCCTAGTAGGGTTGCCATATTTTGAAGAGCAAAAAAGAGGACACTTTTGCCAACTTCTACTTTTAACTATGGATCGCTATGACAACTGTCATTTTACATACCCATGAAAAAGAGGACATGTCCTGGAAAAAGAGGACATATGGCAATCCTACCTAAGGCAGAACATTCAAATGGCACTCTACCTGCCTACCCACCCACCCAGGTAAAAAATTAAATAATAATAAATCAACTGAGAATTTTCCATCCTTTAAATATGTCTCAGAATCACCCAGCTGTGAGAGACATGAACATAATGTCCCTTAACACAGCCAAAGATGAAATATTATAAGCTCACATTATTCTTTCAAAAACTAATTTTCATTTCACATGGGGTCATTGGGCAATAGTGGGATTTCTAATTCTAAGGAACTCTAGTGGCATTTCTGAGGGATTTCCATGCTTTAAGAAAGATATTTTCTTTTAACCACCCCATCCTTATTCTCACCCTGTGATCATGCATCCTTTGCCTGCTGATGGGCTTTTCTTAGAAAGTTCCATTTCACCCTTGCACAATTGTGGGTTTATGTCATTAAAATCAAACAAAAGCAAAAACAAACAATCTAATGGTTACACTTGCTTTCTATTTCAGAACATTTTTATCTGCGTAATGTAATATCTCTTTGTTGCAGAGATCCTCTGCTGCAGCAGACTTCTGCTGCTGCTTAAATTAGTCTCGAAAGTGCTGTGCATACATATGGCATAAAAAATGATTGGATGAATATATTAGGAAGGGATTGTATGCATGCTTTATGCGCCCAATCAGGTTTTCTGCACACATAAGAACAAAGTGCAGGACTAGCCCGAGACTTTTTGCTGCCTAAGTTGAAGGCGGAAGTGGCACCTCTCGCATTCTGTTTCCAAAAAACAAGATTGGCAGCCAAATCATGTTTCTCATGAAAATTCATCAGCATTTTAGTGCAAATTTCTCCTAATAAACACATTTTTATATGCAATTTGAACTAATAGACACATTTTTGCAAGCAATTTCCTCTAATAGAATGCATTTTAATGTTATTTCCACTACCATATTCATTTTTAGGCACACTTTCCCCCAATAACTGCATTTTTGGAAACATAGTTTGGTTGGAAAACTGCACCACAAAATTCAGATACGTGTGAATTTTGCAGGATGGCTGTATTTCAGTTCTCATATTGCTCCAGAAAGAGCAAATTTGGTAAATTCTCTTTTAAATGCAAACTAAACCAAATTTCTCCACATCCCTGTTTAAAGCTGACAAGGAGCTGCAGTCAATGAAAACAAATAGCAGCAACAACAGGAAAATCCTGATACTCCTCTGACTTCCATCTAGACCCGTTTTTGTGCTGTTGCTGCCTGTTTAGAATCTGTCTCATGGACTAAGGGTCTTTTAAATGTTGCATCAATGTCCCATGTGGCTAATACCCTCTAGTAAGTGGGTCATGGGGTTGGTTGGTTGATGGACACATCTGAGCTGTTGGACAATTCAAAGTGTTTTGCTCAGGTCTTGCTTGTGGGCTTCCTACAGGCACCTGATTGGCTACTGTGAGAATGGAGTGCAGGACTAGATGGGCATTTGGCCTGATCCTGCAAAACTCTTCTTATCTTCTCATGTTCTTATGACAAACACAATATAAAAGGGAAGGAAAAGCCAGCATTAAAATTAAGTGTCTATAGAAAAAGTCTCAGGAAACTTTGAAAGCCCATATAAGTAGATAGTTAGCATTACTTTATGTGACTTTCTAAGGATTCGGTTTGTGCAAGGGAATGACCTTCAGGTGCCATCACACTTTTTTCAACACGTCTCAGATTCTTCAGCATTGACCAGAGAGGTTACAAGTGTAACATGATAAAGCCAGAATGCTTAAGATTCCTCCCTTGGAGTCAGTGGACTCTTCAGATGCCTTAAACCCTTCATGAATTATGTACCATCCCTACCAACAGACAGCTCTGAAATGTTAATTTATTGCATTGCCTAGAATCCATTAAAAAAAAAATCCATCCAAGTACAAAACCCCAACCAGACAGCATCCGTATGACTGAATTACTTTCTGCCACCTCATTCACCAAAATGTCTCTGCAGATAGATATACCTAAAAGCTGTGGAAGCAAGTCAAGTGAATTTAGGATGACATTTGATAGGATGACATTTTCCAATAACTGGTTTAGACATTTCCACCGCTGACAACAATAACTGCAAGGCCTCTGGGAGATTTTAGGCTAGCGTTTGGGTCTGCAGGTGCAATTCTACATGCACACACTTTTTTTTCTAAATTGTTGTCATTCTTTGGCTCTAATACCAGTCTAGAGTTTATGACTGTTTCCAGTAAGGGACAACCAGCATGTACTTCCTTCTTCTTGCAAATTTAAGACAACCATGGGTGGTTGTCTCCTTTCTCTTGGTGCTAAAAAATGTACTTGCTTTGCAGAAGTAGAAAAAAAAGTTCTTCCGGCTGAGGAAAGGAAGAGTTTGAAGAGTTTGGATTTGATATCCCGCTTTATCACTACCCGAAGGAGTCTCAAAGCGGCTAACAGTCTCCTTTCCCTTCCTCCCCCACAACAAAGAATCTGTGAGGTGAGTGGGGCTGAGAGACTTCAGAGAAGTGTGACTGGCCCAAGGTCACCCAGCAGCTGCATGTGGAGGAGCAGGGAAGCAAACCCGGTTCACCAGATTATGAGTCCACCACTCTTAACCACTACACCACACTGGCTCTCAAACTCTGTTACCCAACCCCAAAAACCATGCAAATACCCCTCATGCTGGTCTGAGAAGAGCCTAGATCAGGCCAAAGAGCCATCTCCTTCAGCATCTCGTTCCCTCAGTGACCATCCAGATGCTTGTGGGAACCCTGCAAGCAGGACATGGGCACAAGAGCACTCTGGCCTCATGTGGTTTCCAGTAACTGGTATTCAGAAGCATGCTGCCATGTCGAGCTAAGCCAAAGTCTGGCTTAGTGCGGTGTCGAAACCAAGTCTTGTGGTTGAACTCCTTTCCTTGCTAACCACAAGCTGTAGCCAAGAACAACCCTTCGCTGTGGTCTGGCTTGCTGTGTCCTGCAAGACCAGGTCACTGCAAAAATAAAGCAGGTGGCCTCAAGGAAGCCAAGACTTACATCATTTTTTAAATAGCCCCCGGTACGGGAGTGGTGATGGGAACTGAGCAAGGTCTCTTTTTCCTTTTCTTTTTCTTTGTCAGGCTTAAGTGGACCAGGAAATACAAGATAAGCTGCATTCATAAAAACACAGCTAAACAGCACCAGGCACTTCTGGGGAAGTTGTGCCTTTATTTTGTATTGAGCAACTGTCTTGTGCGCAGGAATAATATGTAATTGAGTTTTTATTTACTTTTCTCTTTTGTTTGTCCTATGAATGATTTGATTCAATGACATTATCTCAAGGTTTTCCAAAATGATTCTTAACTCTGTTTCCTGCTTCCAGGAAACTCTCTGGGAAGGAGAACAGGTCTTATTTTTCAGTTGCCCACACAGGCAGATCTTGTCCTTCCCCCTTTCTCAGAGCTGGCTCTGGCATTTAAAAAATGGTTCCATGTGCATTTTTGTGTGCATGTGCACTGCATGTGATCTTTGAGAAACAATTGTCGTGACTGTGATATGGGCCAGCCTATTGTGGAAATTGCTGCTGGGAATCTGCAGATGTATCTGTGGGTAGCCCAGGTGACATGATACCTTTCTCAATAAGAAAGTGGCCTGGGATGAAGTGTGTGTGTGTGTGTGTGTGTGTGTGTGTGTGTGATTGAGGAATGCAACCTCAAGGACAATTAGTTATAATATGTTTGTAGAAATGTAACAATTTGTGAATATGAATGCCAAACAAATCAGAAGGTTTGTTATACTGCTGCTATACTGCTATACTGCCTTGAATAAAAGTGCTATGCAGACTTATTAAATTAATTGTGCAGAGAAGCCTTGCCCGAGCAAGTTTCTAAACACCACCGATAATGTTGTTAAGTAGCATTTAACATGCCCCTGGAGTCCTCTTCTGTTGTAACTAATGGGAAGAGGGTAAGTGAGGACAAAGGGGCTGTAGTTGCACTTTTAGCTCCATCCCCATTGTGCAGGTTGCTTGCTAGTTCAGCCATAACTTCTGCATGGAAACCTTTTCTGCTCATGAAGGCTCTCAATGCAGTTTAAAAACCCAGATGGCCAGGAACCTCCTCACTGGAGAAGCTGCAACTGAACTTTTGTGGGTGATCAGCCCACAAAAGCATCAAAAAGATAAGGTGGGGCTAAAAGCATGACCCTACTTACATTCCTCCTTCATATGAGTAACAACTGAAGATAGCCAAGGTGAGGACAAAATAAGAAATTAAAGAATGCGCAGAAATACCACCAGGGATCACCACAATATGAAATCCTCCAGATGAATGCTGGTTGAAGTTTGTCTGTATTAACACCTCTCTCACACACACACACCATTTCATAGAATCGTAGAATTGTATAGTTGGAAGGGACCACGAGGGTCATCTAGTCTGACCCCCTTCAATGCAGGAATCTTTTGCCCAGCATGGGGCTCAAACCCATGACCCTGAGATTAAGAGTCTCATGCTCTACTGACTGAGTCATTTCAGTTCGAGGAGGCAAAATATGGCACCCAGTATTCCCAGGCAGTCTCCCATTCAAGTATTAACCAGGCCAGATCCTACTTAGCTTTATAGAATCAGATGCTTCCAAGGGGAATCAGTATTTTAGATTCAACACTGTCTCTGCTGCCTTGCTGGCTTTAGTTCAGAAAGCAAAATCCCAGTAGCCTTGGCATTAGAATTAATAATTCCGAGGGGAAGGATGTGGACTTTGCTCCCTTTTGGTTGCAGATACCGTCTCAATGTGCTTAGAACAAAATTTGTGCCAGTTAATTGCACTGCAAAACAAGGCGAATGCCAGAAAGCTTTCACTATGATATGAGAGAGTTTGCCAGTGCCAAAGGCAGATCTCTCACATCCTCTGCCAGGTACAGCTGCTGCAGGCCGCACTCTTGGGTTTATCCACTGGCATACGTGGTAAAATTATGAGGCTGCACTGGCTTTAAGTCAAGCAGCATTCAAGAGTGAAACTATTTAGAATTCATTCCAGATATATCTTAGCTCTTCTGTGGGGGTGTTTGCAATTTCTGCTATATCAGATCAGAGCAGGAAATGCCACCTTTCCCCCTGACAAAAGTTGTATAACTTGCATAACAGGCAGAGATCCCACAGGTGGAGTTTGCCTCCCCTGCACTGCGCACAACAGAAGATGTTTCAGATTAGTTTGGCCCCTAATCTATGGTATACTTACGCAAATAATTAGCCCATTCTCTCAGCACTGATCTTCCCTACACAGATATAAACTCAAATGACAAATCAGTTGTGGCATTTTAGTCCAACGTCAATGCATCAAATGATTAATTGCATTGATTAATGTTTACATCTCTCATAAAATGATGCTCTTTTTATCTGAAAGCAAAGAACTGGCAATCCTATTGTGCTGCAAAGTGTTACCTATGTCAAACATACAAAAATCATTTATCTTAGATTAACCTCTAGGAGCCAGTGAAGTATCACTAAGCACTTCGCCAGTCTTCCCCATAAGCAGTCTCTTCCCTTGTGAGGTAAACAGTACTCCAGAGGTGATTTTGAAGGAATAAGAAGGATTTCTAAAGTTTGGTCAACTAACTTGGACAAGATCCATATATGAGGCCTGCCTAAAGCCTGATGGTTTGCTTGGACAAGTGTGTGCACATGTAATTTCCTTTGCGAATTAAAATCTGTCATTGAGCCCTGCCACTTCTCAGATACTTCTTCCTATTTCCAAGCTGTTGGGTCAGAGATTATAATAAGTGTGAGTGACCTGTGGATGGCTAAATGAAGGTCTGACATCCTGTCAGACTACACCGTTAGTGGCATGTGAATGAGTCAATATTTAGCAGGGCTTAATCCAATTTCCCCTTGCAATGGTCATCTTTGACTGGCTGACACAAGCTGTGTCTTGCCCATTGCGGGTTGACTGGTTTGTCTATTAAAAAGGCAGATTCAAAAGTGTTCAAAAGAAATACAGGAAAGAGGAAGGCTTGCATTTGTAAGAAAGGTTTTTCTGTGTCCAGGAAATCATGGGCTGATTTCCCTGCCCCTTTGTTGCTGCGACAACAGGCTGCCAGTCAATGATGACAATACTGTACTAGCTGTTCTGACTGGTACAGTGGTACCTTGGTACTCAAACGCCTTGGCACTCAAACAACTTGGAATCCAAACGCTGCAAATCCGGAAGTAAGTGTTCTGCTTTGCGAACCTTTTTCGGAAGCCGAACATGCTCCGTTTTGAGTGTTACACTGCCGATTTGAGTGTTACTCTGAGGCCTGTCTGTTTTTGCTATTATTTTGCGTTTTTGTTTTTGCTGCTCTTTTTGTTTTGTTTTTGTGACTGTGTGGAACTCAGTTCAGCTACTGATCGATTGATTTTGTGACTGCAGTACATCGTTTATTGCTTTCATTTTATTGATCAATGGTCTTGTTAGATAGTAAAATTCATGTTGAATTGATGTTTTAGGGGTTGTTTATAAAAGTCTGGAACGGATTAATCCATTTTTTGCATTACTTTCTATGGGAAAGCGCACCTTGGTTTTCAACGCTTTGGTTTTGGAACAGACTTCCGGAACGGATTAAGTTTGAGAACCAAGGCACCACTGTATAAGGCAACATCCAATGCTGCTTCCTATTTTCCTGTAGTTCACTACACACTGAAGTCTCCTTGAAATCGATCAGTCTTAAGCATGACTAGTTGTCAAGATTCTGGTTGACACAGACCTCTTAGGAGGAAAAGGACTGGGACCCCATGCAGCAACCCATTCGCACAGAAGAATAACCAGCATCAGTCCAAGGGCAGCCTGAAAAGCACTATATCAGAGATGCCTCATCTGCCTTCCATGACCCCATCCCAAGCCCCACCTTGATTCTCAGTTCTCGTACATAACACTTGGGCCGCAGGAGCAATGGTGGTAGCAAACCAACTGGGAAGCTGCTGGAGGAACATCAGTTTGGCTGCCAGACAGCTTGATCAGCAGGGGCCTAATCAAGAAGAATAGAGACGTCCGATCTGCAAGCCATTGCCCAGCTGCAGGCAATGACCCAACAGAGGACCAGATAGAGGCATTGACTGTCCCCCATACTCCTCTGCACCTTTTCTGGGATAATAGCTCCCTTAAGAGCTTGTTAATACTCCAGATCAATAATGCTAGCACAATGTTGAACAAGATGGATGATGCTCTGAGTTCACAAGGTAGTTCTTCTTGCAGATTAGGGGTCAAAACTTCAGCAAAGCAAACTCTGTACTTCTGAAAAGATTTCCAATGAAACTTGCTACAGCAGGGCAAAACCAAATGCTCTTTGAGCATCTGGAGATGGTGTTTTTTCCATGTGCTTTTTATTATCCCATGTGGGTAGCAGGGAGTGTTCTTTCTCAAAACTGGCTGACCTTCCTAATAAGGTTAAGTAGAGGATGCTTAAATCACTTTTCATTTGGGTATTGTTACTCAGCTCTTGTGCAAGAAAAGAAACCACTCTCTTATTGGAAGTAGGGCAGTCATAAGCAGAGCTTGTATGATGATTTTTAATTGACATATTCGTGGCCTTCTGGACTGTGGTCTATGATTTTGGATTCTGTCTCCACCTCCTTTGACATTACATTTATCAACAAACATTTATTTAGCAGCAGGCTGGGTAGCATGCAGAATACAGAAGTACTATGGGTAGGCCAAAGATGGGTGGAAGGGGCATGGTTTGATAGTTTGGGGTAAGATCTGCAATATGAAGATGAGGGCCTGCCTTACAGAGTTGTTGTAAGGATTATTGAAGAAATTGTAAAGCAGTTTGAATATATAAAATTTGCCTTGTAAATACTATTACAGTGGTACCTCGGGTTACAGACACTTCAGGTTACAGATGCTTCAGGTTACAGACTCTGCTAACCCAGAAATAGTACCTCGGGTTAAGAACTATGCTTCAGGATGAGGACATAAATTGTGCTCCGGCGGCATGGTGGCAGCGGGAGGCCCCATTAGCTAAAGTTGTACCTCAGGCGAAGACCAGTTTCAGGTTAAGAACGGACCTCCAGAACGAATTAAGTTCTTAATGTGAGGTACCACTGTACTATAAACTGATAGAAAACTGCCACAGGAAGAACTAAGATGCTTGGAAAGCTCTACCCAAGCAAGAAAAGGAAAAGGAAAACACAAAAAACCCCACAAAAAACCCAGAAGAATACTGTTTTGCACACTTTCATTTTAATTGATCAGCATTTGGGAGGAATTTTCTTCCAGTTCACTTTCTATAACACATGCCATAACATAAGGTGTCAGAATGGTCCAAATAGTCTATTCTTGTTTTGTTTGATGAATTTTAGTTATTGATGCCTGAAAGACATGGAAACAGTGGTTGGAGGTAAGTATCTTCCCTTGAGCTTCTCGACCTTTGCCCTTCCTTGCTTATAACATGCAGCTGGAGAAGGATCACTGGTTAGGTCCAGAAAATGTTTAATGCTTCTTTGAAAGAGGTAATGGTCCTAGCTGCCTTGAAATATGCAGATGTGAGGCTGCTCCCAAAAAAGATTTCCCTATCAATCCTGTTCAAGCAGCCAGTCATAAAACTTCTTTTAATAGTATTTGAGCACTTGGTTGCAGAGCTTCTCCTCTAGACCATCTTGGATGATGCCGAATATCTGAATCCATTTGAATCCGGTTTCTGGCTTGGTTTTGGTACTGAAACTGCCTGGGTCACCCCAAGGAGTAGCCTGTGCTAGGAGAAAGACTAAGGGAGTGCAACACTGTGGAATGCCTCCTGACTACTTTTGATGCGATAAACTATGGTACCCTCCAGGACCAGCCATCTTGGACATTAAATATTGGAGTTTAGGGATGCTGCATTCTAGCAGGTCTGTTCTTATGGTCTCTTCTGAAAGGTGGTGCTGGGAGACAACTGCTCTGCTCTGTGATACTTATGCTGTAAAGTTTGTTCTTACATGCTGCATGAATGTAGAAAGGTGTCTTCGACCCTTGGTCCATCTAGCTCAATGTTGTCTACACTGACTAGCAACAACTTTCTAGGGGGCATTCTCAGCCCTGGGGGCATTTCCAACCCTATTTGGAGATGCCAGGAATTGAACCTTGGACCTTCTGCTTGCAAAGCAGATGCTCTATCACTGAGCACTCAAGCTGTTCAGTGATGTTAGCTGGTGATGTGAAGTACCATCAGTTTGTTGGTAACACCAGGATCTTCACATTTTCATCTAATTCAGTTGAGGTTGTTGATGGAGTTGACTCCATAACGGACTGAAGTCCAGTCCAGGCTAGGTAGGTAATATTGGTGGAGGGCTCACCTGCCTGGGGAGGTGGCATTCAACCCATTCTGTATGGACCTGTACTCCTACTAGAGAAGCTTGCAGGTGCTTTCCTATCTAGTCCTCAATGGATGCCTAAATGGCATCAATGCTATGAAGCTCTTTCTATCAGGTGAGGTTGGTGCACCTATTATGACTCCTCCTACACATAGATAGCCTGGCCACTATTATGCATGCTCTGGTAACATCCAGATTGGACTACTGTGACATTTTAAAGGGTTTCTCTTTGAAGACTACTCAGACTGCAGTTTAGTCCAGAATACAGCTGTTGTGAACTGGGAGTGGCAGTACGGAACATATCTTTCCAGTTCTTAAGTGACATCACTGGGTTTTTGAACACAATTCAAACTTCTGGTTTTGAGACTCCATATGGTTTAGGAGCTGGAAGATTATTTACTTCCACATTAAGCTTCCTCACTGCCAATACATTCCTCCAATACATCCCTCCCAAGCTGTTCTCTGGTGCCCTTGTTTTCTGAGGTTAGGTGGAGGGCTTAGCAATGAAAAAGCCTTAGCAGTCCTGGCTTCTTTTAATGTTTTTGTGATGTTTTTGGGTGATTTCCAGGTTTGGTGTGATGCGCGTGTGCACTGTCACACACTTATTGAACACACATAAATGGGAGGTTAATAATAATAATAATAATAATAATAATAAATTTATTATTTATGTAGCTGGGTTTCCCCAGCCACTCTGTTGTGTGTAGTATTTTTATTTGTTGTTGGGTTCGTGTATATATATATTGTTCTTTTTTTAAAAAAATCCAGAGCATTTCACAAATTAAAAACTATAAAACACAAATTAAAAACCATAAAATACAATAAGCAAGGTAAAGGTAAAGGTAAAGGTACCCCTGCCCATACAGGCCAGTCTTGACAGACTCTAGGGTTGTGCGCCCATCTCACTCAAGAGGCCGGGGGCCAGCGCTGTCCGGAGACACTTCCGGGTCACGTGGCCAGCGTGACAAGCTGCATCTGGCGAGCCAGCGCACCACACGGAACGCCGTTTACCTTCCCGCTGGTAAGCGGTCCCTATTTATCTACTTGCACCCGGGGGTGCTTTCGAACTGCTAGGTTGGCAGGTGCTGGGACCGAACGACGGGAGCGCACCCCGCCGCGGGGATTCGAACCGCCGACCATGCGATCGGCAAGTCCTAGGTGCTGAGGTTTCACAAAAACAACTGAAGCCTATGCAAGACACACCATCAGTCTATATAACACAGCAAATCCTACAGCTGCATACCAACAGAAAATGGAGTGTCTAAAGCCCAGGTCAGCAGGTTCCCTTTAAGCTGGCACTGAAAGAGAGTCACTGTTGACAGCCTGGTGCATCCCCCAGAGGCCAGGAGTTCCACAGATGAGATGCTACAGTGGAGAAGGGCCTATTTCAGGTCACCAGCTGGTGAGCATTTCCCAATGGCAACACTGCAAGAAGGGCTCCCTCTGCAATTCTCAACTGCTAGGTCAGCACATATGGGGAGAGGCACTCCTGCAAATATTTGCTCCTTAATGCCCTCTTTAAGGACCTTCTGTGTTGATGTCCCCATCTTAAGTGCGCCCAGAAATGAAGAGGCTGACAACACTGGTAACTGGAGAGTAGGTTTAATACAATTTCACTTTAGCTGACCTCTCAGTAAATGGGTGGCTGCATCCTGTACTAGGTACAACTTCCAGACAGTCATCAAAACCAAGTTCCAAAACCATATGTTGAAGTATAAATATGCCTAATAAAAATGAATGAATGAACGAATGAACGTGTGCTTAATGTACCCATGCATAATGCTAAATTAACTTTAGGCTATACATGAGTGGTGCATTTTGGTTAGGGATGAGGAAGAAATGCAATTTCAGTTCCTGTTTAACGGTGAACCCACCCAGTTTCTTTTTCCCAGGACAATATGCAAACCAAAAGGTCATATTTTGAAATTCCTACTTTTCTGAATCTTGCAATGGAGATCTCTAGCCAAGTAATAGTTACATGATAAAGCATGTATAAAATGCACATATTAGTGAAAATAATATTAAAATGCAATATATCAAGGAATATTCTTTTGCACAATGCATATTAGGCAAAGGTGCATATAAAAGCACTAATATCAGGGGAATTTTGCATTTTAATGTCAATGTGGAAATGTGAAGAGCTGAGTTTAACATTAAAAAAAAATGAGACAAAACCAAAATTGACAGATTTTACTTTGATCTTGACTCCTTTTGCAGGCACAAAATGTTGTGGGTGGCACAGGTTAAAAACATGCGTTGGGCACAGACAGTTGTGTATCAAATGGCTTGGATGGGCCAGGGTGCAGGATGCATAAGGCATGTGACACAAGACAACGCATGGGCCTCATCAATAGGAGTATAGCATCTAGATCAAGGGAAGTAATAGTGCCACTGTATTCTGCTCTGGTCAGACCTCACCTGGAGTACTGTGTCCAGTTCTGGGCACGACAGTTCAAGAAGGACACTGACAAACTGGAACGTGTCCAGAGGAGGGCAACCAAAATGGTCAAAGGCCTGGAAACGATGCCTTATGAGGAACGGCTAAGGGAGCTGGGCATGTTTAGCCTGGAGAAGAGGAGGTTAAGGGGTGATATGATAGCCATGTTCAAATATATAAAAGGATGTCACATAGAGGAGGGAGAAAGGTTGTTTTCTGCTGCTCCAGAGAAGCGGACACGGAGCAATGGATCCAAACTACAAGAAAGAAGATTCCACCTAAACATTAGGAAGAACTTCCTGACAGTAAGAGCTGTTCGACAGTGGAATTTGCTGCCAAGGAGTGTGGTGGAGTCTCCTTCTTTGGAGGTCTTTAAGCAGCGGCTTGACAACCATATGTCAGGAGTGCTCTGATGGCGCTTCCTGCTTGGCAGGGGGTTGGACTCGATGGCCCTTGTGGTCTCTTCCAACTCTATGATTCTATGATTCTATGAAATGCTTGATTGGGAGACTGCCTTCGAGAAAACTCTCTTGAGCAGGGTAAGAAATAAAAAATTGTTTCTAGAGATTCTATGGACCAGATTTTCTGTATCTGCTGGGAATTGGACTGGATTAGCTCGTGAAGTCTCTTCTCATTCTGATTCTATGGGTCCGGGTATCCGGCTCTCTGCTGAGGCTGCCAACCTTCCAAAGTTCAATAACCTGATACAAACCTCCAATTCTCCTGCAGCTGCACTCCCACACTATCTTTTTCAATGCCATTACGGGAAATTTGCATGATGCTGAGCTAGTAATTGGTACATGAATCAGCTCCACATTAGCATTCTGCTGCTTCAAGCTTTTAAAGAATTACAGAAATAGAAATGGCAAAGGAGGAGTAGCCATAAGTTCATCTCGCCCACCCGCCCGCCCCCACAAATTTGCTCCTTCTAGACCTAGTACACTGAGCGGAGAACACAGCTGCTTAATCTGAGCGGGCGAGTCAAGTTTTAATATGCCAGCAGAAAGATAAAATGTCCCCACTGGCAGCTGAGGAGGCTTTCATAACATTGAACTGATAGGGAATTTTGTGGAATTAAGACAGGAGGACAGTATGTTGTAAAAAGAGATAATTGCACACAGGCCACACGTTTTCCAGAATCCACTACAAAGCCGAATTCCTCAAAACAAAAACAACCTGGTTTCCGAGACAAGTCTTCAGGCCACTTGGTGGCTTGTGAACATGAAAGACACTGCTGGTTAGTGGCATACCACTGCTGAGCAGGGCATTTCCTGCGTACAAGTCATCAAGCGGCTTGTACATTTCCTCAGATTTAAAATATGTTGTATGCAAAATATATTGTGTGAAAAGAGTGCCATACTTTTTGCCGCACAAGGGTTAATTGAACAGCAATAGCTTTTGGATTAACATCTTGTGTTAAGGCGAGCATGGAGAACCCCTCCAGATGCTGCGGGACTACAACTCCCAAATAACCCCCCAGCAAGCATGGCCAATAACCAGAGATCATGGGAGTTGTAGTTTAGCAACCTCTGGGGGGTCAAACATTCTACACACCTGCTTTAAGTGCTTTGTTTGTTTACTCAAGATCCAGAACTCCAAGAAACCACAGCTCTTAAGGGTCACACCCTTAACAGATGCATTATTTAGGCAATATTGATATGGTACAGTATCCCACGCTGTGGTTAGCTCCAGTTCCACCGCCGTCTTGAAGCTGGATGGTTGTCAGTGATGGACCTAAGCCCCGGATTTGTCCATTCACTGGATGCATGGAAGCCTGATGGGTCCCAACCCCAGTGACTAAAAATAAATGAGTGGTGGCAAGAAAATAGCTGCATGACTGTAGAGACATTACCCTTGGGTTTCCTTATTGGGTTTGTGCTGGAATGAGGCAGTTGCCATTCATGGCAGGGTAACATGAGGGTTAGCACACAAACTGTCAGGAGCTCGTCCAACTCTTGAGTAGGACCCTGGCAGAGACACATGCCCTACTGGCATGTTCCCTCCCTCCTGGTCGATCGTTCAGGAGCATCAAAATCTTTCTTCTGCCCGAACATCACAGCGACCGATGCCAAAAAGCACACTTAGGGATCCGCAGAGTCTTCACAGTTTGCGTAACAGACCTCAGCAACTCAGCATTTTGGCTAATCTACTTTATTTACATATACACACACACGGAGCACTGCAACATGGCTCCCTCTCTCTCTAGCATCAGACAGCAAAGAGAAAAAGAACAAAGGACAACAGTCCCACTTCACGGAACACAGTAACACAAACATCCTGTCTCCGTCACTTCCCACTCTGTGGAGTCAAAATATATAGCGTCATGTGATAGACAAAAATCCCATGACTGCAGACATGGGGAATGAATCTTCAACA